AACAATCACTTAATCTCTAAAGTATTTTTGGGGACAAATTTGCCCCCACATTATTATTTTGTGTTTTAAATGAACTTATAATTGTTTCTTTCATATTTTTGCTTTTATTTTACTCCATTAATCAAATGGTTTAATATTACTTTTCTTTTAATGAGTTTAGGTTCAACCACTATAATATAGATAATTTTCTAATGAGAACAAAATTTAAATGGCTAAACGTAGCCCCTTCTCTCACAATCTTAAACCTTTAACTAAAACCTCGATCATGTAGTATTGTTCTTAGAGTTATAGTTTGAGGACCTATAGCGCAATTTTCATCTTCTACAAAAAGCCTCAATATCCGAAAGATTATTAGCTGAATGGCAGTTGGCATATACAATACGCTCAAGCGCTTCTCTTGGATTTTGATAACCTTGTTGTGCAAAAATGGGATATGCACTCGATACATTCTTGTATAGTCCAATCAAAGAATATGATAGGTCCCAAAAATAAACTTGATCTATGATACATATCACACCTGTGATACTTCTTTTAACAGCTTAAACTTTAAATTTAAATAGTTAAAATTTCAAAAACATTCATCGTTTCATCCAACAAATTTGTAATTTTTTATAGTACATTTAGCTACTCTTTAATTTTTAGTAGATTTTGATAGAATTGATGAAATGCGTAGTTAAAAAGTTGTACATTTTATAAATTATGTGATTAAAAATAAGTATGAAGAAAAAATAAATTTTAGAAAATGTGAGTCACGCGAGGACTTATTACATGTGACGACCGACGGAGCTAAGAAATTAATAAAATAAGTGAGTCTGGTCGTGTCCGCGTCTGTCACCCTTAATTTAGCTAGGAAAAATAAGATGGGATTAATTAAAAATTACATGCAAAACTGTACCGTCGGAATCAACTTTTTGACACCTAACCTACAGTACTGGTACACATTGTCCTTGTATCTATAATATTACACTGGGTGGGTGGACCATAGAAATTGTAAAGCTACCAAATCTCCAAAGAGAGGGGCCATGGTTTTCATTTCATTTTACATGCATTTATCAAGCTCAAATTTTTCATATTTCAAATGGATCATAATCTTCATGTTCTTCTACATGTTCGCATTATCTCAATCCGATCCGCGAATTTCCCAAGCTGGGCTTTTCTGTGGCAAATCAAGGCCGCCTCCAAATACCAGTTACATACCACTGTTTACTAAAGAAATGAATCTTCTTTCTCAACTCGTGACATCCCAGAATTGGGGTAGTCATGCAGAGAATAATGGTACTATTTCGATATACAGTTTAGCCCATTGCTATAGAGATTTATCACACGATGATTGTCTACAGTGCTACGCCTCGAGTCGAACCAGCCTCCCCCGCTGCCTTCCCGCCGTGAGTGGCCGTATATTTCTCGATGGGTGCTTTTTGCGGTATGATAACTACAGTTTTTTTGGAGAAACAGTAGATCCAATTTGGGATAAACGGAATTGTAGCAGTTCAATTGATGATAATAAAAATCAGATTCAGCTCACCCCATCGGAATTTAATTTAACTGTTAAGGATCTGATTGACAATGTTACAGCAAGTGCAGTATTGAACGATGGTTACGCGGTGGCGGGATTGAAGGGTGTTTATGGTTTGGCGGATTGTTGGAGAACTTTGAGTAGAAGTAGTTGCAGAGAGTGCTTGACGGCGGCGCGTAGGGAGGTGACGGAGTGTTTGCCCAGCCGGGAAGGCAGAGCGATGAATACTGGTTGTTATTTGAGATATTCTACTAAGAAATTCTACTCTAATCATTCTGATACAACAAATAATAGTTCTGGTAAGTTTGGTTTATTCTATAATTGTTTTTTAGGTGATAAAAATTCTGGATTGATCGAATTCGAGTCGAGAATTAAATTGTATAATTGTTTTTCATTTTTTCTTCTTTTCTGGTTAATTATATATCTATCATACTTTTTATGTGAGCTCCGTTTGAGTGATCCGTGGTCAGATTTCTCAATTTTAAGGCTATTTTGCAGAAATATTGAAGACGGGGGTAGTGTTGGCAATTGTTTTGTCAGTATCGGCCTTCTGTATGCTCTCTGTATTTTGTGGGTATGCAGCCTATGGAAGATGGAATAAACGAAATCAAGGTATATTATCCATAATATTATAGTTTTCATAATGGATGCAGTTTCAAATGGGAATGATTCTAATCATGTTTAATGAGTTTTGTGTGCAGCAAGAAAAAACCTTGGCCTAATTTCATATTCTTACAACAAGTCGAATTTGAATTTCAAATACGAAATTCTCGAGAAAGCAACAAACTATTTTGATCCTTCAAGAAAGTTAGGACAGGGAGGAGCCGGAGCTGTGTATCGAGGAACCCTGACAAATGGAAAGACCGTCGCCGTGAAAAGGCTGTTTTTCAGCACTAGACAATGGGTCGATGAGTTCTTCAATGAGGTTGACCTCATCAGTGGAATTCAACATAAGAATCTTGTGAAGCTTTTGGGTTGTAGTATTGAAGGGCCTGAGAGCTTGCTCGTTTATGAATTTATACCTAACAAGAGCCTTGAGCAATACCTCTTTGGTAACTGTTTGTTTCTTTGTTTACTTCATTTAAGGTTCTTTCGGATTTGTTTTTCGTATCTTTTTGATATTTTTCCATCTTCGTTTCGTTCAGATAACAAGAAGGTTAAGATTCTAAGTTGGAAGGAACGCTACAATATTATAGTCGGAACAGCAGAAGGTATCGCTTTTCTCCATGGAGGTTCGGAATATAGAATAGTTCATCGGGATATTAAGACTAGCAATGTTCTTCTTGATGAGAATCTCAATCCCAAAATTGCGGATTTTGGACTAGCTCGAAGTTTTGCTGTTGATAGATCTCATCTTAGCACGGGAATTGCAGGCACATTGTAAGAAAAATTATCATCGCATTACCCTAAGATAATTATATATTCTTTTGGCATGTTTTTGTAAGATGGATTGGATAGTAGTGGACATTATTAGGAAAAAAAATGAAGTTTCATTATATTCTCGAGTTTGGTCCAACATGACATACCAAACATGCACTATGTTTATAAGATTTTCCAGTTTCAAAATTTAATATATGATTTCTCGCGGTGCAGAGGGTATATGGCTCCCGAATACCTAGTAAAAGGACAACTAACAGAGAAGGCTGATGTTTATAGTTTTGGCGTGTTGGTTCTTGAAATCACGTGCAATAGAAAAAGTAATGCCTTCGTCGAGGACTCGGGTTCTCTCCTTCAATCGGTACNATGAAATGGTGTGCAATAGAAAAAGTAATGGCTTCGTCGAGGACTCGGGTGCTCTCCTTCAATCGGTACATTCCAAATTCCACATTACTGCGTTATATTTTTTAGTATAATACTGTTATCTAGTTTATTCGTTGGTCCATATTTGTCAATGTGGTATTTTCGAATGTAGGTTTGGAAACTGTACAAGACAAATAGATTGACAGAACTTGTCGATCCTTCTTTAGAATGCGATTTTCCAGAACACGAGGCATCGAGAGTGCTAAAAATCGGGCTTTTATGCACACAGGCTTCAGTTTCTTTAAGACCATCCATGTCTGAGGTTGTCCAAATGCTTACTGATTTCGACTGTCAAATTCCCGAACCGAATCAACCACCATTTTTGAACGCCAGCTTGCTTTCAGAAACCGAAACTCGATCGTCCTACAGCGCAAACAGTTTGGCATCAAAAGCACAAACAAATTTTGAAGCATTTTACACCTTCACAGAATCCTCTACTCCGAGTTCAGATGTACATCCCAGGAAGTAAAGAACATAGTCAAAAATAGAAACCCAAGTTCTTTTATATCAAGTGAAACTCCAGTACAACACAGCACAAAAATTGGACACACATCATCTGACGGATGCTACCTAGACAGCCACGAATAAGGAAACACAAGGGCAAGTTTTTGTACACTTTGTTAGTATGGTACAGTAGCTCGACTCTGTTAAAATACAGAAATTGCTTGTCAAATTGAAAATCTGAAATCAAATCTATATGTTACTAAAAGTCTTCTAATTAGGTAACCAAACAGGTTGTTCCGGACGAGGGTTCTCATTGTACTAGCATTTATTATTTGTTTATTTATAATTTAATGTCAACAGCTAATCCTTTTAATAGTTTTTTCAACCTTCAACAAAAACGTTCTGAATTAATTAATCCGGCTGCAGATTAATTGTCAAATTATGTAAAATGTCACATTCAGAATGGTAGAACGACATCTCATCTCCCATTTCAAGTGTGTGCTTTTTTATTTGTTCAAATTAAGTGGCGTCCTTTTCATGGGTTTAATAATTGATAAGAGAAATTTGTGGGGACCTTAAGAAACAAGGAAAAAAACAACACAAATTATTCATGAAAGGCCCCTTTGTACCATCGACATTAATTAGACACTTACTTGGTGGAAATGTAGATGACCGACAATAATTAATGAGTTCACATTGTTGAATCACCTGATCTCGTCTATAATTAATGAGTTCTCATTATCGAACTACTTGTTAAACAATTACACATCACATAGGTTATATTACTTCAGACTAGGTGAATTTTCTTATTGAACATCAAAAAATTATATCATCCTAAACAGAACATCAAAATCGACAATTTCTATCCATAAAAGATGGCCACGTAAAGGCAACAAAGATTCCATCTCTGCCTAGACTAGACTGTAATTACAACAGAGCAAGACAACGAGACTAATTAAACCCTTTTGCATTAATATTCACGTCGAGTACTATCGAGTTCAGTACATCAAACATGTCACAAGGGTTCTCAATCAGCATCTATTTTCAGGAATGAACAATTTCTAGACTTAAAGCAATAATCGGTTATACCTTTTGGATCTTATTTATAAAGGATCAGAATTTGGTCCATGACGCGAAAAATTATACCCAATGCCGACTCCTCCTTTGTTGGAGAAGTGCCTTCACAAAGAACCAAGTTAAAATTCAACTCTTACACGAACATATTATCGAGTTTGCCAAGAGAAACAGATGTATATATTAAGTGTGAACTCTATTTTCCTGTAAATCAATCCATTCTCAAAGGGCATAATGCGAGCTAAATAGAAACATTTAGGAAATTGGAATACCTTGAACTGAAGATGTTAAGACCAAATAAATCATGAAAACTGCTATTCCATTTCCATAATTAAATCTCTGAGAAATATATTTCCAGAAAGAGGGCTGCTGCTTGTACAGTCTTAATGGACTGATTAATTAATCAGTGGGGCCCATCCATTGCATTTTTACTTTTGTTGCAATATTCAATGCGACTAGACATTCAAATCATGTTAATTCTTTAGCTACACGCAAACAAGCACCAACCACCTATATTGCGCTTTTTTAATTTGTGTAAAATTGCAGCCACGGTACCAAATTTTTCACTTTTTTGAAGACTTTGCCTAAACTTTTGATTTGTGCCACCCACGGTACCAAATCTTTCAAAATGTAGCAGTTGGAGTTCAAATGAATGAAAATCGTTAGTTGACCAAAAATTAAAAATCGACGAATTGTTGACTAATTCTTAAAGGGTAAAATGGTAACTTTCCCTTTTTGCATATTAAAAAAAAAACTAAAATCACCCCACCTCACCTCCACCTAACCCAAAACCAAAATTGTCGGCACCACCAACCCCACCCCCGCCACCGTCCAAGGGCATCAATCTCCGAATCGAAGCATAAAATTCACAGCAAGGACTTCAAACCCATTTTCGCAACAAAAAAATTCCTCTCAAAAGAAGAACACGAGAATTCTAATCCCCCATCCCGATAATAATCTCCCAGAAATCAAAACCAAAATCATCAATTCCCATTTCCATAATTGCAAATTGAAAATTTCCTTCTCCTTCAACAGACTAATAGTTAAACTACAAATTAAAGTTGCAATAATCAGAATT